CTACCTTTTGTCAAGTACTTTTGAGAGTTTACTGGTAATAAGGAACATATTCAAGTAAGCTTCTCATTCCTTGTTTAATGAAATATTCTTCACATATTATCTCTCTCACTGTTTCTCCCTTATGTAACAGGCATCAAAACATGTAGGAATTCCCCGTAATGATAACATCATAGGATAATAGATTTAGTTAGGTGGTGTTGTCCCAAACCTCTAATTTTATAGGCAAGGAAACTGAGGCCTCAGAAAGTTAACTAAAGTGCCTAAGAACCCACAGACAACAAAAATCATAGGCAGGATTCTTGCCCAGATTCTCAGTATACAGAGATAGTACACTTTCTGTTGTACCATCTATTAATATTAAAATGAATTTGTCAAAGAATGAGCATTTATTGAGTACCTGCTATGTCCCAGGAACTGTAATAAGCCCTAGAGATACAAAGAGAGCTAAAGACAGTCCCTGCCTTCAAGGAGCTTACAATCTAATGGCTGAGACAACAAGCAAATAAATATGTACAAACTATATACAAGATAAATAAGAAATGACTTACAGAGGGGAGGACTAGAATAAGGAGAACTGGGAAAGGCTTCCTGTAGAAGGTAAGATTTTAGTTAGTAATTTATGGTTAAGAGTGGAAAGTGGACGGCATTTTTCCTTGTCAAACATAATCGTGTTTATGTACATAACCTGTCAGGTATTCTCAAGCCATATGATTCCTGAAGTAAAAAGGTAGAGGAAGATGAGAAAGGACTTCTGTATTTTAAAATATGGAGGGTTTTTGTGAAGATGAAATGAGGTATTTATAAAGGAACTAGCACAGTGCTGAACACATAGTAGGCAGTAAATAAACGCTTGTTTCCCTTCCTTCCTGTAATCTCGAGTGGAGTGCCCCTGGGATATGTAACTTTACATTGTCATCGTCATGTTCATGAATGATTTAGACAAGTGCATAGTTCAGCATGCTAATCATCAAATTTTCAGATTATATAGTACTAGAAGCATATGATATAAAATATATAATATAACATATAATTACATATTATATATAATATATAATATATAATATATAATATATAATATATAATATATAATATATAATATATAATATATAATATATAATATATAATATATAATATAAAGGAGACAGGATCCTTCTCAATTTTAAAGGCCAGAACATGTGGGCAAATCCCATTAGATGAAATTAACATATGGGTTAAAATGCGATATTAAAAGTTCAAGATAGAATGCTTGAAAGTCCTCTATTTCACTGAATGACCATTTTTTCCTCTGAAGGATTATACCCAGTTTTTCCTGGGTAGGTGATTCTTGGCTGTAATCCTATTTCCTTAGCCCTCCAGAATATTATATTCCATGCCATGTGGTCCCTTGATGTAGAAGCTGCTAAATCTTATGTTATCCTGATTGTTTCCACAACTCCTGAATTGTTTCTTTCTGCCTACTTGCAGTATTTTCTCCTTGACCTGGGTACTCTTGAATTTGGCTACAATATTCCTAGGAGTTTCCCTTTGGGGATCTTTTTCAGGAGGAGATCAGTGGATTCTTTCAATTTCCATTTTGCCCTCTGGTTCTAAAATATCAGGGCAGTTTTCCTTGATAATTTCTTGAAAGATGATGTCTAGGCTCTTTTTTTGATCATGGCTTTCAGATAGTCCAATAATTTTTAAATTCTCTCTCCTGGATCTATTTTCTAGGTCAGTTGTTTTTCCAATGAGATATTTCACATTGTTTTCTAATTTTTCATTCTTTTGGATTTGTTTTACAGTGTCTTGATTTCTCATAAAGTCACTAGCTTCCAATTGCTCTATTCTAATTTTTAAGGAAGTATTTTCTTCAGCAATCTTTTGGACTTCCTTTTCCATTTGGCCAATTTTGCTTTTTTAGAGCATTCTTCTCCTCATTGGCTTTTTGCGCCTCTTTTTCCATTTGGGCTAGGCTATTTTTTAAGGTGTTATTTTCTTCAGTAGTTTTTTGGGTCTCCTTTAGCAAGCTGTTGACTTGTTTTTCATTATTTTCTTACATCACTCTCACTTCTCTTATCAGTTTTTCCTCTACTTCTTTTAACTTGCTTCTCAAAATCCCTTTTGAGGTCTTCCAAAGTAAGGGAATGATTCATATTTTTCTTGGAGGCTTTGGATGTAGGAGCTTCGACTTTGTTGTCTTCTTCCGGTTATATTTTTTGATCTTCTTTGTTACCAAAAAAAGATTCTATAGTCTGACACTTCTTGCAAGATTTGCTCATGATCCCAGCCAATTACTTGAGTTATGAACTCTTTATTAAGGTAGAGGTCTGCTTCCAATGTGGAGAATGTACTGTCCCAAGCTTTGGGGGTTTGTACAGCTGTTTTCAGAGATACTTGTAGGGACCTGTAAATTTTCAGTTCCTCCAAGGTGGTATGATAAGGGGCAAGGTGTGTACTCCTTTCCTGGCCTGTGCTCTGGTCTATGAGTGATCACAAGCAGTCTTTTCTGTCTTGGAACTGTAAGGAAGATTTCCTCTCCACTACAAGCTCCACCACGCCAGTGCTCCTCCTCACCCTAGAACTGTGACCCAGATCCAAGCACTGGCAAAGCAAGAGATTCCTGCCTCAGCACTGGCAAAGAGATCCCTGCAATCCCCCTCTGATCAGCCACCTGATTCCCCCTCAGTCTGTGTGCTGGGAGCTCAGGAGGCAGCCAGTACCCTGGGGCAACGCTCCTCAGGGAATGGGGCTGAGACCTAGATTTTCTCTCACCACAGAAACAGACTTTTCCCATGACCTTCTAAGTTGTCTTTAGCGTTCATGAGTTGAGAAGTCTGGAAACCGCCACAGCTGCCCACAATTCAGTCCTCTGAGGCCTGCTCCCGGTTCTCTGAGGCCTGTGAGCCCACTCCGCTCTGTGCTCCTCTTACAGCCCTGCGCAATATACCTTTCTGATCAATCATTCAGGTTGTTTTGGGCTGGAAATTTGTTTCACTCTGTCTTCTTGTGGGTTCTGCTGCTTTAGAATTTGTTTAGAGCCATTTTTTTTACAGGTATTTGGAGGGATTTGGGGGAGAGCTCAAGCAAGTCACTGCTTCCCTCAACCATCTTGGCTGCACCCCCTCAAGACAGAATGAACATGGTTAGATAAAAATTCATCAAAGATCATGGGTTTTAGTAGATTTTAAGTATAATATGTGTTAACAATGAGATACGACATTGACCAAATACATAAATAAAATAATTGGTGAAAATTTAGTTTAATTATAAAAAGTGGAATGGCCTAACAGAAAGGAGGTCCTAGTCTCTTTCAACTCTGGCCCCTGAGCTCAAATTACATATAAATGTTTTGTTGTGTTCTACACATCACATTTTAGGAAGGAAATCCATAAGCTAGAAGGCATCTAGAAAAGGGTACCGTTTGATGAAGGGACTCCAGGTTATATAATATGATGAGAATATGAACAGAATCGTGAAGTGTGGCCCCCATTTGTGGGCGAGGTGGCCAGGAGGAGAATGATAGATCTTTTCAAGTCTTCATATGGAAGAGAATTTAAACTTATTTTATTTCAGCACAGAAGAGGAACAGGTAGAAATTATAATAAAGCAAACAGAGTAAAGGTAGGGGAAAATGCCTACTAATTAAAACTGTCAAAATTAAAACTGTAAAAACATCCTAGAAGAATGAGTTGCCTGTGGAGAGATGGAGTTGCCCCTCACTGGAGCTCTTTGTGTAGTGACTAGATAATTATGGGGAGGGGAGATCTTTTTCAGCTACATATTAAAATATAGGACCTCTCAGGTCCCTCCCAGATCTTGTATTCTGTAAAATTCTCAGACTTTTGTGCTTTAATGAAGATTAAATAACTATTATTGATGCAGCCCCTTTTTCAGTATGAGTCACACCCTGGATTTTTCACCCTGATCTCAACCAAAAAGAGTAGGAAAGATCAAGAGCTTGAACTTGCTGATCACATAAAGGAAAGAAAGATATAGCAAATTTTGTAGTTTTTTTTTTTCTTTCCTGAAAAATGAAGACTTCCTATGTAAGCAAGGAATTGTATTTAATTCTAGAGGTAGTCTACTACAAAGCATAGTGTGGTTTCAACAGAGGAGAATTATGTTATAGGGGCTGGAAGGGACCTCAGAGAGCCCTCTAATACAATGCCTTTGTTTTATGATTAGGAAAATAAGGATGGAAGGGATTAAGTAATTTGTCAGTGTCACCCAAGAGAGGGAGAGAAGGGAAAGGGGAGGAAATAAAGGAAGGAGGGAAGAAAGGAAAGAAGGAAGGAAGGAAATAAGGAAGGAGGGAAAGGAGGATTTTTAAGTGTTTACTATATACCAGGCACCGTACCAAGCACTGGTGATGCAAATAGAAGTAAAAAGAAAGACAATCACTACCCTCAAGAAGTTATATTCTAATGGGGGAAGACAGTACATAAAAGGGAGCTAAAGTGGGTGAGGGGTGGAATGAAGGTACCTGGGGTATGGACATGGCTTTGAAGTCCAGAGGAAGTTACAAACTGGGGGGGGGTGTGCATAAATAGAAGCTGGAGGATTTGAACACAAGTCATCTGACTTCAAATCAATAGTTCTTTACAATAAGCCATGATTAACAGTCATCAAACAAAAAATATTTTTTATTTCATTTTGTTTGTCTGTTTTGTTTTAGCCAGACCTGTGACAGGCTTTACAATAAGGAAACTATGTACTGATGGAGATCCTGTGTAACAATGATTTTTTTTTTCTATAACAGTCTTAGAGGGTTGTATGAGACACTGAAGAGTTAAATGACTTTTTCAGAGTCACCTAGTTGATTTGAGAGGTGTGGCTGAAACTCAAGTCTTCCTTAATTTTAGGCCTACCACTCTCATTTTTCCATGGTAGAATCCCCTACTATTCATAAAGTCACTCAGACCCAGAGGAAGAGTGATTCAGTGGAGAAGTATATGAATTATAGTAGGAGGAACTGGGTTTGAATCTCATCTCTGCCATTTATTTCTGTTTTTCTTTGCCTCAGTTTCCTTATCTGTAAAATGGAGTTTGATTAGAAATCTTATTTCCATGCTTAATTCTATAATCCTATCAATATTTTCAGGAAATAAAGAGTGAGGTTAAGGTGCATAGTGGATCCAAGGTTTTTGCCCAGCTAACCTACATAAAGGGTTGGAGCGGGGAAACAGTGGGTGAAGTTGGGAAACAGTGGGTGTGTTTGCTTAAGTGAGTTCCAGGCAGTAACTCCCTGGGAATGTTGGATAAAGTAGGGCACATACATTATTCACGGTCTCAGTAGCCAGATCACAGCAGAGAAGCATCTCAGAGATGAAACATTTTCATCAGGCCTGAAAATATTGAGAAAGAAAAATGCCAAGTAAATTTTCAACAGTTGTTTCAATTAGCCAAAGCCTTCTGAAAATCCCTCTGCAAACAAAGTATTGCAAACCTGCAGACGTGCTCCTGCTCCCTCCCAAGGCATTCCAGTATAGAATCCTGGAGCTTCTCATTAAGAAGACATTTGAATGTCACAAAAAGCTAAACTAGGGATATTTTGCCTGAAGAGGAGAAGACTCTGGGGTAACAAGATAGTTGCCCTGAAGTACTTGAAGGATTGCGATGTGGAATAGGGATTACATTTGATCTGCTTGGCCCCAGAGGGTAAAACCAGGAGTAACTAGTAGAAGTTGAAATGAAACAAATCTAGGCTTGATGAACAAAGTAAAAGAATGACAAAAAGAAACCGACCTTCCTAAAGACTAGAGACATGAAACAGAGAAATAGGCTATGTGGGGGATAGGAGGTTCTCAGTGGCCGCTCTTCAAAAGGAATGACCACTTAGCAAGAATGTGATAGTGACTATGGAACTAAATTAATGCAAGGTCTCTTCCAACTCTAAAATTCTGTGATATTGGAAATGTATCTGTTCAATTAGAGGCCCCAGAACCATGTGTCAAGAACTGAAGCACCTGCTACTGTCAAGTTACTTAAGCAATAAACTTCTGCTACATCCATATCAATTACTGGGGTTCACTAGCATGGAAATTTATATTGGGCTTTATTTTATTTTTGGTATTTGCCTGGCAATCTCTAAGAAAGAGTCCCTCCCAAGGCATGAATGATCAACTACATGTGTGCGCACCATTAAGCATCACTGCCCATTGTCTCCTTCACACTGAGGTGATGTTCCATAGCCTGAGCAGATCAGTGATTGCAATTCTTCAAATGATAATAAGTAGAAGGGAAATTTAACCCATGGGAAAGAAATGTCTGTATTCCTAAAACTGTCCTTGAAGTCTGTGAAGCACTAACTCTGAGCCCAAATCTAGGATATTATGAAGGGACAGGAAAAGGTTGGAGAGCAATTTCAATGAATTATTAACTGTCGTAACTGAAAGAAACACTGGAAACAAGAATGTTAGAGTTGGAAGGAAGCTTAGAATGTGGAACGTCAGAGCTGGAGAGACTTTAGAACACAGAATGTTAGAGATAGATGGGACCCTAGAACAAAGAACACAGAATGTTAGTGTTGGTAGGGATCAGTACAAAGAATGTAGGAAGTCTTCAAGACTGAAACTTCAAGGCTGTCAAAGATGACAAAAGGCAAGAGTTTTAGACCTGGAAATGTTCTGAGAATATATAACACATTATGTGAGAGTTGGATAAGAAGTCAGAGGTGATTCAGTCAGAGGATACGATCTGAGAAGGAAATGCTCATCTTTTATCAATGAGGAAGTAAAGGCCCCGAAAGGAGAAATTATATGGCCAAGGTGCTAAAACTCTAGGTGGTGCCTGAGTTTGCTCCACCACTTGAATACAGGTTAGAGTTAGGATCAGATCCCCAAATGTTCCTTTTCTGATAAAAAGCATTATCTAACATCTTCTACTTCCATTAACCCTCTGAGTTAGAGAATATGGACATCAGTAATGTGGTGCAGTAAATAGAGTGCTGGATCTGAAGTCAGGAAGACTCATCTTTTGGAGTTTAAATGTGGCCTCATATGGACTTATTTATTAGCTGTGTGACCATGGGCAAGTCATTTTTTTTCTTCTTTTTATTTAAATTTATTTATTTTAAGTTTTCAACATTCACTTCCACAATATTTTGAATTCCAAATTTTCTCCCCAACTCATCCCTCCCCTCACCCCAAGATGGCATGCATTCTCAATAACCCTTCTCCTAATCTGCCCTCCCTTCTATTTCTCCTCCTCTTCTTTTATCCCCTTACCCTTCAATTTTCCTGTAGGGCAAGATAGATTTCTACACCCCATTTCCTGTATATCTTATTTTCCAGTTTCATGTGAAAACAATTTTTTTAAGTTTTGTTTTTAAAATTTTGGGTTCCAAATTTTCTCCCTTCCTCCCTCCCCACTCACCCTCATTGAGAAGGCAAGCAACTTGATACAGGTTATACATGTGTAGTTATGCAAAACACTTCTAGAGTAGTCATGTTGTGAAAAATTAAGTATATTTCCCTTCATCCTATCCCACCCTCCATTTATTCTATTCTCTTTTGACCCTGTCCCTCCTCAGAAGTGTTTGCTTACCCCCCTCCCCCACTCTGCCCTCTCCTCTATCATCCTCCTGCTCTCTTGCCCCCTTCTCCACCCCTATTTTCCTGTAGGGTAAGATAGATTCCCATACCATGGGCAAGTCATTCTAATCCTGTTTGCCTCATCTGTAAAAAGAGCTGGAGAAGGAAATGGCAAACCGTTCCATTATCTTTGCCAAGAAAAAACAAATGGGGTCATAAAGAGTCAGACAGGACTGAACAACAACAACTACTACATTACCATTTTATATTTGAGGGAACTGAGGCTGAGTAGTAGAGAGACTTGCTCAAGGTCACATCTACATTAAACAGTTTTCTATTCAGGAAGGAAAAATCCCTTCCTTAGTAAAACAAAACAAAACAATCAAAAACTATGCTCTGTTAGCAATCCAGGAGACTAAGTAGGTAGATAGGGGACAAAAAACTCTATTTGGAGTCAAAGGACTATGGGCTTGAGCCTTATCTCTACTATTTATTGCCTATGCTGTAATGCCATTGATTACCTGGAGAATATTTAGAATAGGATAATCAGAATAGTAAAGGACCTTGAGTTCATGAACACTAAGGATTTTTTCTTAAGGAAATGGGGAACTTGGACATGAAGAAGAAAAGATTTAGGTGAAGAATGATACATATTTTCAAATATTTCAAGGGATGTCACATGAAGAGTAATATTTTTTTTGTTTTGTCCTACATCGATCAATCAATATTTATTAAGTACCTACTATGTGCCAGTCACCATGCTAAACACTGGGGATATAAGAGGAAAAAGATGTTACCCTGCCCTCAAGCAGTTTACAATCTAATGAGAGAGACAGCATGCAAACCAATATAAGCAAAGCACTCTATCTATAGGATAAATAGGAAGTAATTAAAAGAGGGAAAACACTGGAGTTAAGAGGGGTTAGGATTCTACCTCCTTTAGAAAATGGGATTTTAGTTGAAACTTGAAGCCAAGGAGGTCAACAGAAAGAGTAGGAAGGGGAGAATGTTCCTAACATGGAGGAAGGAGAACATTCCATGACATAATTAGTGAAAAGTCAATAAGCATTTATCAGTCACCTACTATGTGTCAGGCATTGTGCTATGTGATGAAGATACAAATATGAGAAAGAAAGAAAGCCTTTGCTGTCAGCAAGCTTATTATCTAATGGGAAAGAAAACACACAGCCTGACCTGGGGCAGAGTGGAAAAGTTTAAAAAGGAAAAATTAATTGATATTTGGGAGATTTGAAAAAGAAGAATTGGGCTTGATTTCAGGAGAAAAACAACAAATTGTCTAGTAATTCCAGCTATCAAAAAGTGAAATGGGCTACCTTGGATTTTTCCTTAGTGGAGGGACTTCCAACACAGTCAGAAATTTTCTTCTTATTGAAGGAATTATTTTCTAGATTTGGGTTGTGGTGGATGAGCTCTGAGTTCACCTCCAACTATGATGTTTTGTAAGTCTTTGACTCTATGGTGCCTGTAAAACAAAATCAGTTAATTCAAACTGTGTTTTCTATGACTAGAAAGAAGATGCTGTATTTTTGTCACCAGTATTAATACAGAAAGAGAATCAAGATCACCATGCCTGGAGAGGTGGGTGGGGTGAGGTGGGGTGGGGAGAATCAAATCAATAGGTTTAAGTCCTTATATTTTTTTAGGTTTTGGTCTAAGTAAACATAATTACTGCCTGAAAATCCTGACTTCTGTGTTGTCCCCTTCTTTCACAGAATTACAGAGCTGGAGGAGACTTTAGAGATAAATTGTTTTAAGTCCCTCATGTTATAAAAGATACCTTAGTTACCTACTAGTAGAGAATCAAAGGATGTCAGAGTTGGATGGGACTTCGGAGGCTATACAATCCAACCTGCACATGATCCCAAGTCCCCTTTCTATTCTCCTTGGGGCAGCCCATTTCACTTTTGCACAGCTGCAATAGATTACTTTAAATTTTTTTTCCAAACAAAGAATTTAGGACTGCCTCTCAGAAACTAAACCACAACTTCGAGTTTGAACTTTTAAAGCCTATGTATAGTTAGTTAATGGCAGAATCAGGATTCAAATTCAGATCTTCCAAAAGTTATTGCCTTTCCCATGATGTTTTGTTGACTCTTAAATGATATAATCTGCTTGGGATATTCCTCCAAAATATAACTCATGTGCTGAGTTGTTAAAAACTATGCTTGCTTCAAAATAAGGAAGCCTAATGGCTGAGATAGAGGGGACTGTTGATAGAGGGCAGTTTGGTTGGAACTATAATTGAAGGACAGGGGAGAAGAAACTAATTGTCTTTCTTACTGATTCCAAACACACAGGTCTGATCATACCATCCCCCTACACTAAAAATCTGGTTACTCTAGAGTAACATACACATTTTTTTTTCAGCTTCATGTTTAAAGCTCTTCAAAAGCTTATTCCAATCTATCTCTCTAGGCTTACTCTATATTATTCATCTTTTCATTCAGTGTTCCAGACAGAGTAGCATTCTTGCTTTTTCCCATACAGGGCATTCTGTCTTTCAACTGCCTGTCACCTGACATCTAGAATGCTCTAGTTCCTCTCTTTTTCTTGAATTATTAATTTTCTTCAAGGTGCAACTTAAATACCACCTACTACTCAAAGCTTTTCTTGATCCTCTCTCCCCACCCCATTCAGAAAAATACAGGCACTTCATTGACTCCTCAAAAATTACTTTGTATTTAAGATATTCTCTCTCTCTCTCTCTCTCTCTCTCTCTCTCTCTCTCTCTCTCTCTCTCTCTCTCTCTCTCTCTCTCTCTCTCTCTCTCTCTCCATATACATATCACTCCCTCCCTCTCCTTCCCTCTCTCTCCTCATCAGTATATACCTCCCATTCTACCACTAAATATGCTCCAGGGAATATCTCCAGTACCTACAATACTGTCTGACACATAGTAGGTACCTAGTAATTGTTGAATTGAATAAGCTAGCATGTTTTGTCTTCCATGACACTGAGTTTCTTGGTTCACTTTCAGAGCTCACTTTCCTTTTTCTTCACCCATATTTTTCAACAGGGCCATTATTAACCATTGTCCTAATGATATAGCATACAGTGCTCACCAAGCAAACGTTGGACACTACATAAATGTTGCTTTTGGAAAATCTGAACTTTAATTAATCCTTTTTTTTTTCCTTTTCAGAGATCTTTTTATATTGCAATGGCATTCAATTTCTTTAAAGTCTGAGTTTACTAAGTAGTGGAGTGAAAACATTAGTATGGCTATTCCTGGGCTGCATCTGTTGCTAAGTCATTTCTGTAACAAATCATGATTTAGACACAATGTAATTACAGAGATGCTGATTCTTCCCTTTCTGTGTATATCATACTGGAGTGCGTATCTATGTGTCTATGTACATGTTTACATATACATATAGGGGAAAGCAAAGCCATTGAAATCCCCAAGAAAGAGAGAGATTACCTAAGTAGTTTAAAAAAAATCAATATATGCATCTCAACATAAAGTCAAGTATTTTTGGTTGGTAGTCTAGAACAGACACCAGCAATGGGTTTATTTATGTGTGTGTTTGTGGTGTGCTTTTCTTTGTAAATGTTCTTATTTCTTTGATAGAAAGCACAAAAAAGAAATCATCTGAAGATGTTGAATCTTCTGCCACCATAGCACACATTCTGACTTTCAACTCTTCTTTCTATTTCATTTCTTTAACGATAAATGGTCTCAGTGGGAGATACCATTTTACTAATATTTCCTAGCAGAACCTGGATTCTGATGATCTAAGACAAGTAAAAGACAAGTGAATTACTTTCTCAACATAGGAAAATCAAGGCTTCTTTCATAGTTACCATTCAGGGAAGTTCTAAAGAGGCTCCAATTGGGAGATTTCTTCACCATTACCTCTTCACTCCTCCCTGTGATATCGAAAAACAGCTTCATGGGGAATAAAAGAGGCCAGCAGAGCATTAAAGATTAATGTCACATTTGGAAGCTTTACCAAGATACAAAATGTACTCTGCTATTAAGAAATCCTCCTCCTCTTTTGAAAGTTGTATTGTGTGTTATCAAGTCCATGGAAAGAGTACACTACCTTGGAAAAAATGCTAACATTGAATGAATTTCTATCTGATTATAGTCACTGTAATTATAATCATTATTAAACTTTTAATGAGGCATATTGTCTACTATTTCAGCTGCTCCCTTATCTTAAACTCTTTGGGGAGTTGTATTAATTCCTTTCCAGTAATAGTAAGTTCTTGATTAAATATTTATTGAGAATTTTTCATCTGTGTTATCTTAAAATAAAAAAGTGGACTAGCTGATTGGGCCAAATTTAATAAGGTCCAGTTTAATCAGAATCAATGTAAAGGTTTATACTTGGATTCAAGCAATCAGGCTCTGAAGTACAGAATGGGAAAATCATATCTATATAGCATTTCAGGAAAGAAGGGAGATCTGAGGATTTTAAGTTTGCCAAATAAAAATGAGTCAAACTCTGTCATATAGAACCAACAAAAATTAATCCATTCCTAGGGTCTATAGATAATTACAATATCTGAGGCTAAGCAAATAATAATTCTATTCTATTTTAAACTAGTCAGAATATGCGTGCAGAATTGTGTTCTGTCCTATGTTGCACATTTTTTAGAAAGGAAACAGCAAACCATGGAGGAAACAGAGGAGAAAAAAACCAAAATGCTGCAAAGCCTTTAGATCATGTCATGTCAAGATCAGTTGAAAGAAATAGGGGTGTTTATCCTGGAGAAGAGAGGGCTGAGGAAGACATGACAATCGTTTTAGTTATTTAAGAGTGAGCATCTGAAAGGCATGTGAAAGAAGGCTTAATAATGGGCTGAAACTACAGAGGCAAATTGAGGCTGGCTTCAAAACTCCCTCTCCCCATTTCCAGAACAAAATATAGCTAATAAAATGTTGCAACCTGAGAGCCAAGGACATTAGACAAGAGAGCCCTGTGATGGTATCTATCTACAGTTCTGCCATGAATTAGTTTGTAAATTTGAATGATTTCTTCTCCCCAAGCAGCTGATTCATCATCTGAAATATCAAAGGATTTATGAACTCAGAGTTTCCTTCTAGCTTGCAGTTCATTGTGCTACATGGCAATGTCTGTAAGTAATCATGATGTTGCCGGCTGGCTCCAATTTTCTCTTTCTATCTCCAATGCCTGGCACATATTAGGTACCTAATAAGTTCTGATTGATTGACTGACTGATATAATTTATATTGTAAGATATAAACCAAAGGAAGCTTTGAACAAAATTTAGAAGAGTGGGCATTTACATTACATTTTCTAAAAGACTGCTATGCTAGAACACATCTCTTCTATAAAAGCAGTCAGAGGGGGCATTTGTACTGCTGTAGATGTTTATTTTATGGTAAGTCCCCCAGTGAAAGAACAATTAGTATTAAATAAAGAATAAGAATAATCATTTTGGTTAGGCTATTTTGTACAGAAGTCTAGTGAAATTACCAAGGGCAGAACTGGGTATTTGGCTGGGGTTAGCGTTTGGATGACAGGGATTTGCTTCTAGAACCTTATCCTTCTTAAAATGAAGGAATTAGAATTTATATTAAATGTATCAGCAGTCTCTACATTTACTCATCTTTCCTTTCTCTTTACACAATCCTTAATTCTGTTGTCTTTTGCAAAATGGATTCAGCATCAGAAACTTCACACATCAAATCATAGACAACACAATAACAGAGCTAGAAGGCTACTTCAAACATAGGCTAAAAGAATTTGAAGATACATTATAATAGAGAATACATAATGTCCAAACTTTATTTTTAAATATTTCCCCAATTACATGAAAAATAATTTGCAACATTTTTTTTTAAATTTTGAGTTCAAAATTCTCTCCCTCCTCCTCTCCCTTCCCCACTCCCTGAGACAGTAAACAATCTGATATAAGTTATACATGTGTAATCATATAAAACATATTTCCATATTAGTCATTTTGTGGAAGAAAAGGAAGAAAGGAAGAAAGGAAGAAAGACAGAAAGAAAGAAAGAAAGAAAGAAAGAAAGAAAGAAAGAAAGAAAGAAAGAAGAAGAAAGAAAGAAAGAAAGAAGGAAGGAAGGAAGGAAGGAAGGAAGGAAGGAAGGAAGGAAGGAAGGAAGGAAGGAAGGAAAGAAAGAAAGAAAGAAAGAAAGAAAGAAAGAAGGAAGGAAGGAAGGAAGGAAGGAAGGAAGGAAAGAAAGAAAGAAAAAAGAAAGAAAGAAAGAAAGAAAGAAAGAAAGAAAGAAAGAAAAAAAAGAAAGAAAGAAGGAAGGAAGGAAAGAAAAAAAGAAGGAAGGAAGGGGAAAAAAGCATGCTGAAGTGTATATTCAGATGACATCAGTTCTTTCTCTGGAGGCTGATAGCATTTTTCATCATGAGTCCTTTGGGATTGTCTTGGATTATTATTTTACTGAGAATATCTAAGTCATTCAAAATTGTTCAACATACAATATGGCTGTTACTGTGTACAATGTTTTTTCTGGTTCTGCTCACTTCACTTCTGCATCAGTTCATTTAAGTCTTTTTAGGTTTTTCCAAAATCATCCCGCTACTTATTTCTTGTAGCATGATAGTAGAGTCCATGATGATCATATACTGCAACAGGTTCAGCCATTTGGGGAAACCTTAAAATAACATTGAATGTTAGAGTCTGAAGTGACTTTAGTACATTGAATATTATATCCGAAATGGGCCTTTGAGCATAGAAAACAGAATGTCAGAACAGGAAGAGAACTGTATGGAATCTTAGACTAGAGACCATAGAATCTATCCACTGAAAAAGGATCTTAGGATCATGTAGTTCATTGCATTCCTTGTATAAGTGAGAAAACTGAGATCCAGATGGGGTGAAGAGATTTCCTTAAGGTCATATAAGTTATAAGGGGCAGGGCCCATCCCCCTAGTCATTGAAGTGTTTGCTCTTAGAACTATTCTGAATATTCCAAAAAGCCCAACAACTTCTTAACTGAAGCTTTCCCTAACAGAACCTTTAGGAACAACTTCTATCTATATTCCAGAAGGATTCTTCATCCTTCATCCAGTGACTTTACTAAAAAAAAACAACCCCGGTATCCCTAAGCAACTTTTTGTCCTCATCTGCCATTGACCAAAGATAAGCCATAGACTTCTCCTCTCCAGTTCCCTTGGGCACAAGACAGTGAAAGGAGGAAGCCCAGAGGTGAAGGCTTTCTCAGTATACATTCATGCTACTTAAAGACGAACATGTCCCGGATGATAGGAAAACATTTTCAAGAACATCCATCCTTTTTTAATCCTTCTCCTTCTCCCTCACCAATCACAGATCTGATGACTAAATATTTTCTGTTTATTGTATTTCTTTTCATTTCATTCCCATTGAAAAGATATTTGCATGAAAATAGAATTTAGATTCCTAGCTTCTGATGACATAATCATTTCCATAGAAACTAATTATGATATGACAGAGCTGAGACTTCAGGTAGTGGAATGAACAGCAAAAGCAGATGGATTCCAACCAAGATTTTTTTTTTTATGTTAATATCTTTGGTAACCAGAACAGAGCTGGAGAAATTCAGAAAATGTACCAAATACAATATAACTAGCATGTCAAAAGTGAATGAATTTTGCTAATTTGGTGCAGCAGAGAGAATATTAACTTGGAGTCACAGGAACTGGATTTGAAAAAGATTCTGCCACTGACTATATGTGTGACCCTGAGCAAGTCACTTAATTTCAGTGAGCTTCCATTAATTATTCATCTATAAATTTAGAGGGTTGGACTAGATTACTCACAAATTCCAATTCATGCACACACAAATATATATATATATATATATATGTATATATATATATATATAAACATACATATATATGTATTATATATATATATATAAAACATACATATATATGTATTATATATATATATATATATAAAACATACATATATATGTATTCCTAATTGAAGTTATTTTTAAAGTTTGCAACATTGTAACAATTCTATGAAATGAATCATAATTCATTAAATTTGGTTAGGGAAGCACATTGTAATGGAGAGTGAACTGGACTAAATCCAGAGATCAGCATTCAAGTCATCACTCTGCTACTAATTAACAGTAATCTTGGGATTACAGTAGAAGTACAGCAAACTACAGTATCAGTTTTCTCAGTTAATTGAGGAAATGGGATCTATCAAATAAAGTCTATTAACATATATCTATATAATTATAGAGTATATGCACATATACCTATCTGCGCATACATATACACACACGCATATGTGTGTATATTGAATTCACCAATAAGAAAACTGCTACTGAGGCAATGAGATCTATTAAGTCAGATATATGTATGTATGTGTATACATACACATATACAATGTATATATGCACACATATACCATATGCACATATATAAACACATGTGCCTACCCAGAGGTACACATGTATATGTATGTATGTGTACACATACGAATATGTGCGTGTGCGTGTGTGTATAAAATTCATTTGATAAATCCCAATTCCTTTACTTACTGATGAGAAAAATGTGCTACTGAGTGGTTTCCTTAAGATTATGTGTGTGTGTGTGTGTGTGTGTGTGTGTGTGTGTGTAGGTGCTTTCTAAGTTCCTTTCCAACTCTGATTATGTAGTTCAAATGTGTCTCTATATCTTTTGTACACACAAGAGGAAATTAAGGCCCATGCATGGTGGTCTAGAGACTTCCTCAAAGTTATACAATGATAGAACTAGGACTAGACCTGGTGTGTTCACTTTAAAGGCTTCTTTGATCAGTTCTCTGAGTTTTAAGTCCTGTCAAATGGCTTTTCTTAAAGATCTACGTCTAGAGTATCCCAATATTGGGCAAAGAAATGTAAAGACTGTTAGACAGCTTCTAGACCAATGAAATATTATGAAAGATTGGAGATAGGTTTGGGGCAGCATCACAAGCCCTAGGTTCCAATCCTTGCTATGTTTATACTGTCATCGTGATCTTGGGAAGATCATTTAACCTGTTCATTTCTGTTTCCTTCTCTATAAAATAAGGCTGGAAGGTGGTGAACTAGATGATTGCTATTATCCACCATGGTAGTTTGGAATGAGGGTTGGATTCAGAGTCCAGGGATCAAAGTCCAAATCCTGGATCATTCACTGTTGTGATCTTGGATGAATCACCTTCTTTGGATTTCAAAGTCTTCTTCTATAGCGTTAGAGCTTTTAACTGGATTGTATCTAAGGTCTTTTCCAGTTCTAAATCTTTGATGCTATGACATTTAAGACCCTTTTTGCTCTAAATCTATAGCCCTATCCATATCTGTCCCTAAAACAATATGGAAGAGCTGACCCTTTAGGGGAAACAACCACAACATTTACAGGAAAACTGAAGGGAATATAAGCAGGTATGTAGAGTATTGGGTAGAGGGCTAGATTCAGAATCAGGATAAAGTTCATATTCCACATTACACACTTATTAGCTGTGGCACAGTAGGCAAGCCACTTAACCATCCTATGTCTTAGTTTGCACACCTGTAATTGAGAAGGGATTGGACTGAATGACCTTTGAGAGGATACCTTGGCACCATAGATATACATTTTCCATCATCCTTCACTACTGAGTCAATTTTTCTTCCAAGGACCCAGTAACTCCCTTGGGGGTAAGGGCAAAGCAGTTAATGAGGATGGGGACAGTTGTCTAATCCCTGTGACCAGCCAAATTAATCAAATTAATGTTGGTGAAGATGATCATTATAATAATGGTGATAATAAAAGCTAACATTTATGTAGCTCTTTATGGTTTCCTTTGAGCTTTATAAATACCTCATTTGATCCAGGAGGTGACAGATATTTTAGCCAGTTTGCCCTCCCATCTAGAACAAAGAGTCCTTTCTAGAGAGATATTAATGGTCTATTTGATTAACACTGGAAAAGTCCCAATGTCCTCCAGAGTTTAGGTAGTTAGCAAGTTGTCTTTGTTTTGTTGTTATTGTTTTTAGGATAGATGTAGCCCGCCCATCATGAAAGAGCAACCACTGTATATGGGAATCCTCCCAGAGAGCCACATACCAAATTTGCATATAGATCCATATTTATAACCAAATTATGCAAAATGCATGTTAAGTTTCAGTTAACCTTCAGGAGTCAATGTATGCATATCTGCAAAGATGATTGCAAATACTTTTTGTCATAGTGCCTGGCTGGAGGTTCAGCAAGAACCTTTCTCCTCTCATGCCTATTTAGTAGCTACAGGAACCTGGCCTGGGTCTCCACAGATGTTCATGATAATGAACTATAGCACCTGTCTGAGAACTCTGCACACGATACCCCGTTGGCAGCCAGACTGCCTTCAGCTTCAATGGAGAATGCAAATCAGGAGGGTCCACTATTTTGTAACCCAAGTCAGAAGAGGGGGAAGGGGAGGGGGAGCTGCATTCATTAGTTCTGAATTGAATCAACAAACAATTAGGTTAAGCATCCAACCTTCCTAAATGTTGTCAGCCTGAATTGGCAAATTTGCCTCCTATAAATGCTAAATTCACACAGGTGGGGAGGAACTGGGATGCCTTGGTCTTTGGGTAAGTGAATTAATTCTTTTATGATGTTGGTGAGTGGGGTGGGGATTGGGTTTTAACGTACATTTGCATGTAAGTAAAACAGTTATGAGCCAATAGAACCTGCTTGTTTTAAGTAGCAAAATGACTCTTTGGCTTGTCAAATGATTCAAAGAAACCAAAGTTTTTTGTTGTTTTTCTTTTACTTTTATTCTCCTTGTTCTTCATTATTTTTCCCCAAGAAAATACTGCCTGGGTTGCTTGTGATAAAGTGGACTATGTGTATCCCACCAAGACAAATTCCTGCCTCATTCTTTATGTACCAGCAGGTTTATATGATTTCTTGAAGCTCTTATCGATTTTATGTCTATATGTCAATGTTGTAGGCCATTTCAAATTCGCACCATTTAAATACTTTTCAGGGTCAGCTCCCTTATGATATGGATAAATCATAAGGTGATAGATTTTGGATTCTAGATGCCTATACTGGGAAATTCAGTCACATCAACAACTGTACAGAGATGAAGCTTGTCTTACAGGGTTTAAAGGCTTTTAATTTGTCCAAAAGTCTACCAGGTTATGGTTAACCATCTTAAGAGCTTTCAGCCCCTGCTGGAAATCTGTTTTGGACAATCAGCCTTTCAGGTTTTCAAAGAAGACTGGCTGGCATATGAGTTCCTGTGTAGGGGGTGGCAGTGGGGGTGTTTTAATACAGTTTTAAAAACTGATGTACTGACCCATCCATTCGGAAATGACTAATAGACTGGCATTGTATGCGTGTCTCAGAGAGTGGGCATCTGCTACACGCCCTTGGGCAAAATCTCTCTCCAGACTGCTGTGGGCTGTGGGATGCCAGGAGCTGTGGCTCTTGGGAACTCTCTGTTCAGTAATTGGTGAAACCTTTTGGAATCCTTCAGGCTGTATAAATGTCAAATATTGCTATCATTGGTCTTATTAACGGCAACTTCAGCACTCTGGGAGTGGGTTGGTGGGATAAGAGAAGGTACTCTTGGACTGGATTATGCATCAACTACATATTAACTAGGAAGAGAAATTGTATCTGCCCAGACCCTGCTCCGAAAAATATGCAGGTATACACAAATACATGCATGCATATAGACACGCATACACATATATAGAAATTGCATTGATTTAGTAGAGCAATTGAGAGGCAGCAATCTGGGTGAATAGGATTAATGATTTACTATTTACAGAGTGGCAAGGTCTATTAGGTAACAGAAAAAAACAAGTAACTTGTGTCTTTTTCTATGTGTAAATCTGTTCCTGCTTGCACAGGCAGCTGTGGGGTCATGCTTTACAAATAGAATGCTCTCCCTGACACCTAGCATCCAGCCCCTGCTCTTGCCCTCCTAGATACTGCATATACATGAGGCTTGGAAAGGAATCTTCATACTATGGGAGAAACTTCATGGATGTGTGTGTGTATGTGTGTGTGTGTGCATGTGTGCGCGTGTGAGAGAAAGAGAGAGAGAGAGAGAGAGAGAGAGAGAGAGAGAGAGAGAGAGAGAGAGAGAGAGAGAGAGAGGGAGAGAGAGAGAGAGAGAGAGAGAGAGAATGTGTTGCCGGATGGGAGAGGGAGGGAAGGAGAGACACAGAGAAAGAGAAAGACAGAGACAGAGAAACAAAGAGAGGAGTGAGAGATTCAGTTTTTGATGTGTGTATGTATTAACTTTTCCTTTCTATGTACAAAGATTCAGTTGTGGAATGACACCTTCCATTCCCCAAATCCTGTAATCAGTTCCTCTCTGGCATCCATTTGAGATATGTCAAGGACTAAGTGGACCTTGGCAGGTCTCATAACAGGGACCTTGATGCCTCTTTTGTTAGGAGAGGAGGGAAAACGGTAGCTGAGTTACTTTGTTACCCTCTGAAGGAAATGGAAAGGGGGAGGGGGGACAAAAGATATAAATGAAGGACTGAGTTAAAGCTATCCATGGATCTCTATATATATGCTTCAGCTTTTATGCACTTTAAGATGATTACATACTGTACTGGTTGGCACTTGATTATTTAAAGTGCATTTTCTTTACTTTTATAGCCAAGAGGCTTTGGAGTACTTGCGGTAAGTGAGTGAGATCCTCTGTTTCAGAGAGGGGAGGGTGAGTTTACATAGCCCTAAGAGATGGCTGCCTGCGGTTTGACAGAGAGATTGGGCAGCCCTCCAGGCTGGACAATCGCCAGTTCTGTGGCTGACTCTAAGATAGGAGGTGGGTATCTCTTTTGGCATTATAGGCTCTTTGATGAGAACACCAGAAACCTCCCCTTGGCTCCTGCCATAATGCTTTTCTGAAAACCCAGGCTGTGGTACTGTGCTGTGTGTTAAAGTAGCACAACCACTGTTTGGGGCATCTCTAGTGATAAGCTGCCTTGGAATGAATCCAGGAAGACTCACCTTGTGTGGAAGGCCATGCTGTACGATGATCCCTGAGAGTTTTGCTCCTGCCAGGTTGAAGTAGGGGAGCGAAGGAGATGGAGGAGGATTCTGAATAGATTGAGTACAGAAGAGAAAACTGAGGCTTATAGATGAAGTCATTTGCCTGGGGTTAGACTCACTATAACATCTCTCACATTCCTCTACCCCCACAGCCATCAATGGTTGTTTGACTGAGTGATCATCAGAAAGGTAGTATTAAGGCTGGGATTCTCATCTAAGTTTTCTGACTCCAAATCTACTCCTCCTTCCACTACAGTCAACTTCCTCAGATGGTTTCCTATTATAATCATTAGTCTGTGTAGGAACATAAAGCAAATTCAAATCATAGGACTTCCTTATAAGTATTCATCACCTATTAGTCAAAAAGCATTTATTATATACCTACTATGTGGCAGGTAGAATATTAGCCATGAGACCCTGGGAAAGTCATTTTTCATCTCAGTGTTTTCTAGGCAACTTTCTAGGACTAAACATTGCAGAAAATATGCTGACCTGCATTAGTAGAGAGAGTTTCATCACCTGGGAGTTCCCTATTCCAAATAAATCACAAGGGCAGCCTCTAGCCCTTTCCCTATATGCCAAGCTTGGTCCTAGGTGCTAGGGATACATAAACAATGAAACAATCCTGGCTTTCAAGTAGACCACTTGTATTCCTATAAGGAAGAAAATGTAGCCATCTCTGTGTATATACAGAATAAATTAAGAGAGAATATGCAACATAATGGTTGGAGTCAGGAAGTCTTAGTTTTGAATGGCTTCTCTGTGCCTAACTTTGTGACCATGGGAGAGTTACTGACCATCTGGTCTCAGTTTGCTCATCTATAAGATACCGATATTAATATCTGGAGGAAAGAAGACATGTATGTCATAAACTGATTGAAACGATTTCAAGGACCCTCATGTGGAAGTAGGATTGGACTTGCATTGTTTGGCCCCAGAGGGCAAAGGTAGGAACAAAAATTGCAAAGCAATGAATTTGGGTTTGATATCAGGTATATCTTCTTAATAATAATAGTTGTCTGAGAGTGGAATTTAATAGCTCAGGAAGTAATATAGAAAGCCCATTGTGATCATCCTCACTCCTTCTCCTTCTCCCTGTCCCTCTCCCTCTTCCTCTCTGTGTCTCTATCTGTCTCTGACTCTGTCTTTCTTTTTCTATGTCTGTCACTCACACACACAAATTAGAGTATGTTTATCATTGCATTGTGAAGAAGTCAACTACTGAATAAAAACGTCTCCTCAAGGAGAAAAAAAAGAGCACAATGAAATGAATGATGCATGACCCTATCAATAGAGTTACTGGGATACTCCATGAAGGAAATAGAAGGGATTGGCCTTGGACATATATCTGGTCAACTTTGGTATCAGGAGCATGTGGGTCCAAGTCTTATCTCTGACATACAGAAGCCATGTGACCCTGATCAAGTCACTCAGTCCTCTGACCCCTAGGGACAGTTGAACTAAGAACTGTTCTACACTCCTAACTGGAGTTTCCTACACACATGATACCATGGGCCTAGAAAAATCAATAAATGGATAAGGTCTCTTAACCAGCAATCATTAATTGGGTATTTTGCCTGAGGAGACTGTTCCAAGTGATCTCAAACATTCTTAGCATTGATGTAAGCAACAATAATATAATAATTGGGGGGGACAAACAGGCCCTGAGAATGATAATTTCAACTTGGAAGAGGTTTTGTCCAGCCTAGGACATTATTGTCAGTGTTATTATTTTAATGGATAGCACAAAAAGAAAGCATGTCATAGCAAAAAAAATTCTGAGTTAAGAATCAAAAGACATGAGTTTTAATTACTTCCAGACTCTGCTTTCTTGAACAAATCACTTTAGCTCAGAAAATGTCTTTATTGTTCCCTCTAGCTCTAGATACCATTATCTAGCAACCATTCTCTTACATTTAAGAAGTAAATGCTGAATAATGGGATTTTGGTTTACAAGAAGGTTTGGGAAAGAGAGAGAGAGAGAGTGTGTGTGTGTGTGTGTGTGTGTGTGTGTGTTGTGTGTGTCTGTCTGTCTGTCTGTCTGTGACTCTGCCTCTGTCCTTCTGATTCCTGACCTCCTCCTTTTACATATTCCTTTAAATAATTAAAGATACAGATTAAAGTTTCAAACCTATGTTCTCTTTAGATGAAGTACAAAAAAGACAGATATCAGGGCTTAGTTTAAAAGTGAAGGAGGGTCCAAATAAGACAACTAAGTTCACTGAATGAATGAACTTATGTCCATGTATTTAGCAGACGACATTTTTAAAGATCTGGATATCTACAGAGGCATATGAACAAGTAACACAGATTAAACACCTAATCTCTTCCAGGCATTATTTGTGATACAGAGATAAAGGTGAAACAATCCCTTCACTAAAATATTTTGTGGTTTATTGGTGGAGACAGCAGCAGGTATAAAAATAAATATAAGATATAAGTAAGTATACAGGTATAAAACATATATAAGCATATAACAAATAAATACAAAGGAATAGGGGGAGAGGCAGGAAAGCTTTCATGTAGATGGTGACAGTTAAGCTGAGATGAAAGGAAAGCAGGGTTTTGAGGAAGGAGTACGTAACAAATATGTTATGTCTATACAGTCTAGACAAAGATATAGAGGTGGGAGATGAAGTGCTCTAATTAAGGAGGTGAAAGTTTGGCTACCTTGAAAGGGGAGTAACAGGGGCAGTTAGATGGTGCAGTGGATAAAGCACTAGCCCTGAAGTCAGGAGGACCTGAGTTCAAATCCAGCCTCAGACCAACCACTTGTCACTTACTAGCAAGTCACTTAACCCCAATTGCCTAAAAAAAAAAAGAAAAGGGAGTAATGCATATTGAGGCAGGAAAGGTAGCTTGTAACCAGCTTATAGATGGTTTTAAATATACCACACAGAAATTTGTGTATAATTGTAGATCATCGAGTTGTTGTTATTTGTCTATTTTTGTTATTGTTAGTTATTGTGGCTGTTTTCTCAACAGAGAGATGGAATAGCAGAATATTCTTAGATGAGCATACTGAATTTATTTATGTTTAGTTTTTCTTGGTTCAATAGAGGTCATCTCTAAAACTCAACCACGATTTTCTTGTTTGATTAATGGGGCTGTATAGTAAGACTTGAGTGCCTAGGCTTAATTGTACACTTGTGTTACCTGGGAACTGACCAGACAATCTATTTCATAAATGTTTTGTGAGACTAATGAAATGGATGTTGCTTTGTTTTTTGTTTGTTAAGACATCTAAAGTTGACTTAGTCAATAAAGAGACACTGGGCAACTAGCTATAGGTTATAAGGACTGGAAACTTAAAAACTGAGTGTGTCTTATTTTCTAGGGTTGATTTAATATGAAAGGTCAAGCAGTGGTCCAAACAATTACTCTTATGATTATCATGACAGAGGCAATCAAACCCTCCTATTTGCACTCACATGAATTCCATATGAATCTGTGCATGCAGCCCCCCCCCAAGAAAAAAAGATTGCTTTGAATTCAAAACAGGGGCTGTTAATTCTCTACCTCTTATTTGTCCATGTGTAGTATGAAGTCTGTTTTTGACCATCCCAGCTGGAAGAATACCAGGGGTGGAATCTGGGCAATCTGGTGATACACCAATGCAGAGTGTCTTGGATTCCTTCATTTCTCCCTCTCTTGGGTGGCACAGATTGACAAAGACCTCGACATTTTGAGCTGTAGTCACTGATTTGGTCTGGAACTTTTTAAAATATTTCCCAATGACATGTAAAAAAAATGTTTAACACTCTTTAAAAAAAATGAGTTCCAAATTCTCTCCTTCCATGCTACCCTTCCTGCTCTTTGAGAAGGCAAACAATTTTATATCAATTATGCATGTGGAATGGTGCAAAATATATTTCCATAGTAGCAATATTGCAAAAGAAAACACACAAAATAAAGAATAAAAATTAAGTTTAAAAAAAGTATGCTTCACTCTCCATTCAGAATTCACCAGTTCTTTCTCTGGGGATGGATAGCATTTTTCATCATGAGTCCTTTGGAATTGTCTTAGATCATTGTCTTGATAAGAGTAACTAAGTCTTTCACAGTTGATCATCATTACAATATTGCTGTTACTGTGAGGATCTGTTCATTTCACTTTGCATGAGTTCATATAAGTGTTCTCAGGTTTTTCTGAAACCATCCTGAACATCATTTCTTATAGTAGTATTCCATCACAGTCGTATATCACAACTTGTTCAAGCATTCCTCAGTCAATGGGTATCCCCTTGATTTCCAATTCTTTGTCACCATAAAAAGAGCTTCTATAAATATTTTTTCTATAAACAGGTAGTTTTCCCTTTTCTTTGATCTCTTTGGGATACAGACCTAGTTGTGGTATTGCTGGGTTAAAGAGCATGCACAGTTTTACATCTTTTTGGGCCTGGTATGAAATTATTCTCCAGAATGCCTGTACTACTTCATAACTCTACCAACAGTGAATTAGTGTCCCAGTTTTTTCAACATCCCTTCTAGCATTTGTAATTTTCCTTTTGTGAAGTGTTAGTCAATCTGAGAGGTATGAGGAGGTAACTCAAAGTTGTTTTAATATCCATTACTCTAATCAACAGTGATTTAGAGCAATTTTTTATGTAACTATTGATAGTTTCGATTTCTTCTTCAGAAAACTTCCTGTTCATATCCTTTGACTATTTATCAAATGGAGAATGACTCTTATTTTTTATAAATTTGGCTCAGTTCCAAATATATTTGAGAAACGAGGTCTTCATCAGACAAACTTGTTGCAATGTTTTCCCCAAAGTTCTAGTTTTCCTTCGAAATTTGCCTGCATTAGTTGTGTTTGTGCAAAAGCTTTATAACTTCATGTAATCAAAATTATCTATTTTATTTCCCATAATCCTCCGTATCTTGTATAATCATAAACTCTTCCCTTTTCCAAAAATCTGACAGGAACGTTTTTCTACGCTTCCCTAATTTACTTATGATATTACCATTTATGTCTAAATTATTTATCCATTTTGTCTTTATCTTGCTATATGGTGA